TAAATAATTTGTACACCTAAATTCGATTATGGGCTATCGCACGTCAGTTGGGCCACCATTTAGACCCGCTTCTCTTGCTGTTTTTGCTGTCTGGCCAATTAGTTCGCGCTCAGATGCTGGAGCAGGGTGCTCTGGACTGGGTTATGGGCATGTTGGTCATTTCTCAGAGGGAAGGGATGCGGACATGTGGGCAGGTGGGCAGGTGGGAGAGGACGGGAGCAGAGGGGACAGGCTGGGCTACGCTACCGCGTCAATTAAAACACTTTCTACCTTTTCTTTTCGCCCGCCGGCAGGACACTGGGCGCATCCGGATCGCGCCGCTTGTTTTTCGCCTGCGCCTCGGCCTCCTCGAGCCACGCCTGCAGGATGGGCTTCAGGGCGATCATGTTGTTGTGGGACAGGGTCAGGCTCTCGAATCGACAGATCGTGCTCTGCGACAGCGCTCCGACGCCAGGTAACTTGAGATTGGCCAGGGCTTTGCCCACGTCCGCCTGCGTGACACCTGCCATGTATGAGAATAGTTGAGTTCGCTTGTGATTGAGTGAGTTAATCGGCACTTGGGCGCTGGCAACTAACCCAGCTTGATGCGCCGCTGCTTGAAGCGCTCCGCAAACGCCTCCAGCTCGCGAGGATCGGTATCTGTGTCGGGATGCAGGCCAGCGGCAGCCACCGCCGCCGTGATAACAGGATGATGTACCGCCGAGTGTCCATGATGTCCTGCGGGCCGGATGAAAGGTGTTAGGAAGGCGTGCCTGCGCGGAGGCACTGCAGCATCACTTACCCCCCGTGTGGCCACTTAACGTGCCCGGATGGTGGTGGCTCATCATGTGATTCATGCTGTGATAGGAACCGTGCAGGTGTTGGTGTGTGGGCGTCAGCGGCGACTCCGAGATGGGCGCCAGTGTGGTCATCGAGCCCGTTGGATCCAGCATGTCCAGCTGGTCCATCGAGTGGTGCATCTGTCGAGAAAAAGGATTTTCCTAAATAGCATTGGGATGGAAACGAACTCGATTAAAACATTTAGCAGCGCAAGTGGGTTTTAAATTGGTGCAGAGCAAACCAAAGACATACAAATAAATATGACAGTATCAGTGGATTATAAATACATGATCTTCAAATCATCATGCCCCACATCTTCCTAATACCTCAACCTCACCCAAGATAACTAGCCAATTTGCCAAGTTTATATAACTATTCTTAGTTAGTAAGCTTTAATAGCAACCCCACCCGCAACCAATTTAAAGCCCCAGATAAATAACAAAACAAAACCGGCATCTGTGGACGTACCCACTTGAATGGCATTATCTTAAACACCATCATTAGCAGGCGAGTCATTATCATTGTAATCAGGACCCAATTTGTAAGGTTTCCCGCTCACGCCATAGGAAATGTATTTAAAGCTACCTCTAATTAAAGTCCTCGCTCGTCCTCCATCCATCCTGAAGAAAACTGACAACCCTTTTGCTCCAGCTGCACTTGTTACTTTTCCGGCGAAGAAAGGGGGTCAAAGGAGGGGGAGCCCCTTTGGTAGCTTTAATTGAACGGGAAATCAGGCCCACACACAGATACTCACACACACAAGCGGCTGCGAGCGAAACGAAACGAAATGGAACGGATACGGATACGGATACGGATATGGATGCGGACACGGATAGGGATAGGGATACGAGGGCGCAACTCGCAACTCTTTTGTTTAGCCATCAAATATTTATAGAAATGCTCAATTATTTATACAAATATGAATAGCAACTAAAAAGCTGGAACAGTGAGGAGCAGCCATCTCACCCAGCCCAGTCCATGCTCCCTCGTTTTGTGTTTTGCCTTTGTGTTGCTTTGTTAAGCATTTAAACTGATTACAGCTGAAAAGTATGCTACAGAACGGAGGGCCAAATAGTCCGGATGGCCTCTTTCTGGCTCTTTCTAAGTCGCGCCCCCTCCCCCCTTGGAGGGACCTTTTGGGTGGGGGCATCTCTGAATTCGGAGGCTCTGTGGGCTGGGTCAGTCATATTTATTTATCTTTTTGTGAATGTGGCGCAGTCGGGCGGGTAAAACTAGCGCTTAGTTCTGCTCTCCTATGTACAGTCGGCAAATATGCCACGCCCCCACCGACGAAAGCCGGAAAATGGACACAGCTACGGGAAATGGGAGGCGGGAAATGGAAAATGTGAACATCGGACCCCTGCCCAATTATGTAAAACTCTAAAATGATAAGGAGAGGCCTATGGAGAACAATGCGACCCACACACACACACACACACACACACGCTTGCATGTGTTGGTGGCCCGCTGTATGTGAGTGGTAAAAACAAAAACTATGTAGATGCTACTACCCCCGCCACGGCCCGAAAGTCGTCCGTGCTCCGAATACAATGGCAAACTCTTCAATTATAAACCAATCCCAAAATTAGTCTGACGGTTATTGGTTTGCACCCTTGGCGCTCGCTCTCTCGCTCGCTCTCTCGCTCGCCAGCTGTTCGTCTCTCTCGCACTCGTCGGCGGCCGCGCGCACTGCCTCTCTTTCGCGCGCGATGCTGCCATCTCTCTCGTCGCAGAGAGTGCGGAACCACCCTGCGCGTAAACACACACAAAGGGCATGCAAAAACAAAAAGAAAAGCCAAATCGAAGGACCCAAAAATCCCAACTAACGAGGGAGGGACAGCAAGACGGACAGAGAGAGAGAGAGAGAGAGAGAGCGAGCAAGGGAGAGGGCGATAGAGAGAGAGAGGGAGAGCGAGATTACTTGGCCATGGACCCGGACCCGGGTCCAAAAACCCGTAGCCGTAGCCGTAGCGCCGTAGCGCCGGGAGTCGAAAGTGGAAAGTGACAAGTCGGGAATAGGGATTCCCGGAGTCGGGCAGCGGGATGTGCTGCATTGTGGTTGGCTGGGGCTTATGCAAAATTCATGTGGGCAGTGCCGATGTCGCTGCCAGCGTAAACTTTGCCGTTAACGCTAACGCTACCGTCAACGTCGGCATCGAAGGATATGGCCGTGGAATCCGCCCGCAGAGCCACCCACATCACCAACACCCCCTCTGCTGGCCATTTCATTAGGCGCATAATTTGTAATTAATAAAATTATTCAGATTCGACCATAGGATGCTAAGCTGTAACTTAAATCTGAAGACGAACGTCGGAAAATACTCTGTATAAAGTAAATATTTAGGTTCGGCAATACATATGCATATGCCCGGCTATGGTTATTATTATTATGAGCTTTTGTTGAAGGAACTTCCTTTGGAAATATGACACACAAATATTTTGAATTCTGGCTAACACAATTACTTTCAAAACGAACCACTTTAGACATTTGGACCAAGCTCTTGGAACATTGGTAGTACCATATCATTTGAAATATATAACATTAAAATACTGATATATGTATCTCCAAACAATATTTGGAGAGGAAACTTAAATAACTGATGTGTAATCCAGTAATCTGAACAGCAGATGTTCTTATTTTCGATTAATAACTTGTAACATATTTCAAAAAGCGCTCATATAAAAAGACAATACTTTGCAGATCACGAGAAACGAAAATTTCTTCTAGTGCATAGAAAACAATGTATCCCAGATACAAAACTTCAGAGTCAGAGCGAGAAGGCAGAGTATGTATGAGTTTGGGTGTGGGTGTGGGTGTGGCATGCCTTATATCTCCACCCCTTTTTCGGCCAGAGGACAAATCAAATGCAACAATAGAAGGCAATTTGCAACGAGAAGGATACAAATAAATGCGAGTAGCTAACCGGAAAAAGAGGAAACAATTGCACTGCTGCCAAATTGCCAAATGTTGTCTGCATTGATTTCCTGCTGCAACATGTACATATCGGTGTAGCTATATATAAACATATCTATGTATATATCTGCTCTGCAGCAGCGACGTAAACCGAGCATCTCACACACACAGAGCCCTTGACGTTTGCGCGAGTGTGTGTGTGTGTGTGTGTGTGTGCATAAGGACGCCATTTTAAGCAAGAAATACTCTGGAAAATGCAAAGAGAGTCCGGATTTGGCAAGTAAGTTGAATATTAAATTCGGTAGCTTAGTTGGAGTAATGCTAATTAAAATGCTACCACATTTACTGGCATTTATAAACTTATGTTAGCTTTAATAAATATGGTTCATATAGAACAGAACACTTCATGAACCATAAATGCTACATCTTCCATTTAATTGTATTCAACAACACTTTCTTAAATGAAAATAAAAAATAAATAATAAACATTTTTAAGCTAACTAGAAAGAGTACAAGAGTATTCAGCTGTCGCTGAACTTTTTTCTCCTGAGAATCCGTTCTTCTTACTTGCTTTAATTTTTAGCTTCGGCTTGAATCGCCAACGTTATGATTTATTAACAAATTTGCGAACATTTATTTATGTGCCGTTCGTTGATAAACATGTGACTCCGTTTTTTGTCTCCCTTACTCTACCTCCATCTCCCTCCCGCCCTTTGATTTATTTCCCCACTTTTTTTCCGATTGTTTACGCGCAAATGACCTCATTATATACATATATGTATGTACGTATAATGTAATTTGTTGTTGCCACACTGGGTTTCTTTTCTATATTTTTCCCGTCTTGTTTTGACATAATAAAGCGTTTTTGGCGCAATTTGTTGTACTTTGTTTCTGTTTTTGTTTGTCGTCTGTCTGCCAGCTCGCTCTTTCTCTACTGCGACCCCTATCGCCGTCTCCCTCTGCGTGTGTGTGTGCGCGCGCTTTGTTATTGTTCATTAATTTTTAAGCATTGTTAATATAAAACGGCGGTGACTTTCGTCACCGAACACAAGCAGATGGAGGTGAAACTCCTTTTCAGGTGCATCACCCACTTTTCACGCCGCCAGAATTTGTAGCATACTTTTCTGGGTTTCAGCGTTGATTCAAAGAAATCTAATAATAAAATGGCGCATAAAACATATACATAAAAATGAAAAAAAAACATATGCAATTTGTATGCCATAAAGTAAAATTAGCAATAGTAAAAAGAAAGCATATGGCATTTATTTCCATTAACTAAAACTAGGTCATGTTTAATGAGAGCTCTTAAAAAAAACACCCATTTGATTCGATTTGTTTAATATCACACATATGAACGAAGGGGCTGGATATGTGGTAAGCCAGTTAGGATCCATGCTGACATAGTTTGGGCCATTTCTTCGATCACGTTGACAAGAGATGAGTCTGAAAGTTATGATTTTGAGCCGATTTCGTGTAGGATATTGTGGCCGTGAGTGGTGTGCTTGTGTTATGGTGTAAAATAAGAGATCTGGAAGAGGTGCACGAATTTTGAGGCATTCTACTTCTTGCGCTTCTCGACGGGCTTGAGGATTTGGAAGGAGCACATGAGGGTATTGTCCACAGACATCATGGCACCAGCATTGTCGAATTCACCGCAATAGTTTGGGGCGGAGAAGAGGGTGACCAACTGGCGCTTGGCAAAGAACTCGTAGCCATCCTCGACGACCTGGTGGGCACGACAGATCAGATCGAGATCGTGCTTCTGGAGGAACTTGACGACCACCTCGGCGCCAAAGGTGAAGCTGACGCCACGGTCGTTCTCGCCCCACCCAATGGTGTCCTTGTCCGGATCGGACCAGAGCAGATCGCAGAGCAGTCCCTGATCGGGCACATCGGTGGGCCGCAAAATCCTACGGATCTGCTCCATGGAGGTGAGATCCGGACTCAGGCCGCCGTGGCAGCAGAAGATCTTCTCGTCCACAATGGCCACCACCGGCAGGCAGTTGAAGCAATCCGTAAATGTCTTCCACAACTTGATGGTATATCTGCGCTTGCACTCGTCGTAGAAGCCATAGATTCTATTAATGCTGGCGCACTCGTGATTACCGCGCAGCAGAAAGAAGTTCTCCGAATACTTGATCTTGTAGGCCAACAGCAGACAGATGGTCTCCAGCGACTGCTTGCCCCTGTCCACGTAGTCGCCCAGGAAGAGATAGTTGGCCTCTGGCGGATAGCCGCCGTACTCAAACAGACGCAACAGATCGTAGTACTGGCCATGGATATCGCCGCAGATCTTGAGCGGAGCCTCCAGCTCCAGCAGTATGGGCTGCGCCAGCAGTATCTCGCGCGACTTGAGGCACAGACCCCGGATCTCGCCCTCCGATAGCTGCACATTCTTGCCAGGCCTGGCGCCGCGCACCTCCAGCAGACGGCCAATGATGCTCTCCAGGTTGAGCACCTCCGCCATGGTCTCGGTTTTGCGAGCCGCGGCTGGGTTGTCCGGGCTGGATAGGACAATCGTCTGGGACGCCGTTGGTGCTGCTTGTCAGGGACTCACCCTGAGATCGCGGCTGACCGGATAGTGGGAGCTGGTCCTCGGCGGAGCTGGCTATGGGTCACACTCAACGTCTGGGCTTCTCTGGTGCAGTTGCGGTGACTGGTGGTGGCTCAACTGGCTCTAATCGTATGCTCAGTTTTCTGCAAAATGAGTGTGTGTTGGTGACTTCCACTTCTTTGTGATAATTTGTGAATTTGTCGATTTACTGTGCGAATTTAATGGGCGGATGTCGTGGATATTACCGAATGGAATAGTTGCCTTAATATGTGAGTTGTTCAAAATGCGGTTTCTTGGTTTCTCCACAAAACGCCCAATGATGTATGAAAAATGCTCTCGCTTCGACTGCTCTTTTCAAAACTTGAAGTAAATGTGATCGAAGGCTTGGATGTGGAATAAATGTTGATTAACTTGACCGATTACAAATCGATTCCTATGTCGTTCACACGTTCATATCAAAGACACTAGAATAATAAGATGCATAACGCCATACGATTTTTTGCACATGATTTTTCGTGCTGGCTCCAGGCTCTCTCGAATTTTTGTTCAAGAGGCAGAGAGAGAGCGCTCTAGAGCCAGCAGCTCTCTTGTACGCATACAGCGACAGCCGATCAGTGTATGTGTGCACACGTATGCTCATATATTGTAAATTTGACAAAATATGCCCTTCGCTTCAGAAGTTTATGGACTTTCAATCTATGTTATTTGTACTCGATTGCCACCGAGTAAAAACTCTAATTTTGCATTGCCCTAACATGATAAATATCTAAATAAATCATAGAAATAGTAATAGGTGAATACATGTACATAATAATACCGAATTATTTTAATAAATTACTTTATACTGGAAAATATGTCGTTAGAGTATTCAGCTCGCGACGAAAATATATTTGAGTTAGTGATTCTTGGGTGCGCTGGTCCTGCCTCAAGAATTCAATTTTGCAGTAGACCGGGTAGCATATAAAGTATTTATCTATTTAGTATATTTATTAGTACAAATTATTAGTATACAATTAAAAAAATTTGCAAACTTATGTAAATGACCAATTTTCAGTATTTGAAATGCAAATATTTTTGTTATATTCTAATTTGATATTTTTAAAAACCTCGCAATTTTGGGTGGATAAAAAGGAGCCCCAAATTTATTGTTTCTTCTTTTAGTTCTTTTAGTTTAGATAGATAGAGCTCATCGTTTGCTATTTTTCCAAATTTTAAAAAAATATCCGCATTTTTATTCAATAAAAGTTGATATGTAAAGTTCATACGTAATGTATGTAAACGGTAGCTAATTCGAGCGCCGATTTTAACTAACGACTATTAAAATAACTTCTTAAAAAAAAAAATAATCGCGGCAACAATTTTTAAATAATATTTTATTAGATCATTTTACAACTAAATTGACCAAAACAGTAATCAAATTCGTTTCTCAGATCAAAATTGATTTCGGACCGAAAATCTTCTTCTAGCACAACTACGCACACATGCACACTTTTTTGCTTACTGTTTTCACTCACACAAGCAAGTGAATTCTATTTTTAGATTATTTACTCTCAATTTTATGCAAGTGGGGAGAGAGCCACCAAAAAAGTGGCTGCATAGTGCAAAACCAAGTATGGCCGTTACGCATCTTATTATTCTAGTGTCTATGGTGATATCTTAGCTTTTTCCCTACCTTCTGAAAGTTGCTTCTACTGGTGCTTAAAGTTGCAGTGTACCACTCCTGGATTCTAGAATCTAGACCTTTGCCCTCTTGCTTCCTCTCTGGTCTCTCTGTGCTCTTCACTCGCAGCAGGCCATAGATCGCGTTTTTCTTCATAGGCTTTTGGCGACTATGTCATATGGGTATCGCTGTACCGGATGAGAATGACGATGAAGGATCTGATGGGATACAAATGTGCTGAGCACTTCTCACTGGACCGCACTGTCAAACGTTGTCCTCACGCTATTGCGGTGGCTTTAAAATTTTATAATAAATTTTGACTCGGGAATGGGGACTTTTATTTTTTTCAAAAACTAAATGAATGAAAACTGACGACAGACAAGTCAGGACTACATCGCATTATTTCAGATCAAGTTTCGTTGGAAGGAGAGCAAAATGTGCTTGGAACAAAATCTATAGTTATTACAAACGGATTTTGGATAATTTCCAATCTTAAATACAATTAATAAAGCTTTTTCTTTGTAGATTGTTTATTGGTTATGTGCTCTTACAAAAGAAGTTTAACATCAGCAGCATTAAAGTTTGCTGTCTTGTAAATTTAATAAACGACGCGTTCACACTTCTTGACCATCTTGAATTTGCTGCACTAAAAGGTATTATTTAAGATCGCCACCCCTGGCGAAGTGCGGTGACCCTCGTCTGACCCTCATCCATTTGTTCTTATTATCTCTGATTGAGTGGAAAACTTGAAGTTCTCGAGTGCCATTTGCTGTGCAGCCCGCTATTTTATTTATGAGCTTATTTCGCTGGGATTCCCTGGATTCCTGGATTCCCGGCCAGTGTGGCCACTAATTAGCTGCAATTTGTTGGCGCAACTTGAAAAATTGCAGTGTAAACAGGGTATTTCCAGTGTCCCAATAATGAGGCAATAGCCCTTCGTTTTCCATGCTATGTACGAGTATGTATGTATGTATATTTGTACGTATATTACATATACGTAAATAGAGAGCTGTTCGAGCTGATTGAACTTTTCGGCTGGGCGAAGGGCTCCACTGTACAGTGTGTATCGTGTGCGGTGCGTCCGCACTTGGCGCACCGCAAAGCAAACATTCAAACATCCAAACAGCAGCGGCATCGTTTATTTTGGGGAAACAAAGGACCTCATTTTCCCCCATTTGTTTGACCAGCAAGGCAGCAAGGACAGCACGGACAACATGGCCAACGAGGACAACAAGGACAACATGAACAGCTAGGACAACAAGCGGCAAAGTTTTATAAATGGCTTGCTTGGCCATTGTTGTGCGTCCGCCACTGTTTGTTGAAATTAATTGGTGTTACACAAATGAGTAATTTTCAATGTACATAAATATTTGCACAAATTGCAATTTGCGTTGTGAGGCTGATGGGAGCGGGGCGGCGGGGGCGGTTGGTCGCACTCACTTTCGAGTGCTGTTCAAATAGCCATTTTTATTGTCAAGCGCTAATAATTTCAACAATGAATAATATGAACGGCAAGCATCTGTTATTATTCCAAACAAATCAAAACAAGTGCAGTCGAGGCGAAAGCGAGTGGGCGGGCCCAAGACTCTCGAGCTCTGAGCCCTGATCTCTGAAATCCAGAGTCCTGCATCCTGTGCTTCCTCCCCTCGTTGGCGTCCTGGCCACACACAAATCTTCATAAATTGCAGCTGCCGGGGCGACAGTTTTGGGAATTGAGACAAAGTGCGAGAAGTGCCTGTGAGCGGGGCGAAATGCGAAAAGGGGTCGCCAAATGGGAAAATGATACACTTTACTTTACACACACACACACGCACGCACACGCACAGGCACAGGCACACGCACATGCAGAAAGGACACCCCGGCGCACACAGACACAATCAAGGAGCAACAAATTGCCGCATAACTGTGGGGTGGTACGCCACGTAATAGATTTTATTTTATTTTTATATCCGCCAGACGCGCTGCCAGCGGCCAACTTTTTTCCTACTTCGCCTTATTTATTTTTCTTTTTTTTGGCAGGGGTTGCGATTCATGGCCTTACTTACTTTTACTTTTCACATTTTTACCTTTTTACCTTTTTTCCCCTGCTTTTTCGATCACAAGTAGGTGTGCTGATGGGGGAGGGGAGGGGCTGGTTCAAGGCAGCTAGATTTCACGGGAATTCCCAGGACATTCTACACTGCTCAAAGGACCAACATCCCGCGCTCTTTGGGAACATCGCAAATTAAGCTTCTGAAAACAGCTACAATTTGCTGAGAAATTGAGCATTTTTATATAATAACAAGAAGTGCAAGTTATATTTTTGAATTTATTGAACTCATCTGCGATTTTACTAATACTACAATTCAAGTTTAGGGAGCTATTTACAATATATGATGGAAACTATGACACCATCAACTAGAACCATACATAAATAAATAAAATGAGATGCAATTGTATTGACAAATGACCTTTGCACCTGTGTTAACTCATTGTAAAGGCTGTTATTTGATATTTTACATTCGACAACTTTGATTTTCTGGTAATTTCCCGGTCCAAGTGTATCGCCTTTCCACAGACGACTCGTAAACTTGGCCGAGCAACAAAAACGTGGCAATACGCACGCATACACTGCAATAATTTGCCGGGTTAATGGCAACATATTGTCGCTGGCTCATCATGCGTGTGAGCGGAAATAATAGCGAAGGAAAAGCGTGGAAAACCAGCAAGACCGCGGAGTTTTCCCGCCTCCGGCGACCACCTGCCAACGTTTTCCGCCCACCCTCACCTTTAATTTCTGCTCGTAATTTTTTACACATTGCGGTCCCAGCTTAACGGCTGCCCTACCGTCTGTTTTCCGGCCCGCTCTACTGGGAGACACATCGATATGGCCGGGGAAAAGTCCATACCCATCCGCAACCACCCTCCTCCACGGCCTTCCATGGTTGCCTTCTCTCACATCACGCACACGGCGATGGAACAAGTGCAGCGGCTCAGGTGACGAGGGAAAAGCGGAGAAGTGGAAAAGTGGAAAAGGGGGCGGGCAAACACCGGGGAAAAACATGAGTGTGTTATATATTTTATAAAACTTATGCATAAGCACTCGATGGGGCATACTTATAGTACAGCCAAGGCCAGAACAAAGCCGTTTATTTAACTGCGATTGTATCAAGTTAACTATTAAAGTTCTGAGATGAGCGATGAGTAAGGAAGAAAGTAGTCTCCATAACTTTACTTTATAAAATTTAACTCGAAACTTAGGAACTACACTCAATGCGCTGTGAAAAAGGTACTCTTGAGCGGTGTTAATTATTGTCAGAACAAGTTGTAGGCGTTTTCTTGCAGTGCACAGGGAAAGTGGCAATCACACGGTGCGTCGCCAGTCTGTGCAATAAAAACAACAACAAAAAGCACAACGACACGCTGCACACACACATATCACACAAGGACACGAGGGATTCCACGTACGCCCATGGGTGTGGGTGGCGGGGGGTGGTAATAGAAATTACATACAAAGTAGCAGGCGATGGGCGGGTAGCGGGTAGCGGGGGTGGCACAGGTTTCCTCAGTTCAGCCGTGTAATTCTCCCCTGTTTTTCCCTTTTTTTCGTCAGCCTGCACTTCCCCTCACCCCCTGCCCCTGCTCCCCCTTTCCATCACTCCATTTTTTTCGGCGGTGCGACATTAATATGTAGATGCATTAAGTACATTATCCGGGGTTACAACCTCCGGGAAGCAGCGAGGAGCAACCGGATCCGGAGAAGCGCACGCAGCCAGCATCCCGAACTTGCTGGTGCTACAAAGGTATGGCACCGTGGTTGGGAACAGGCTATCTATAGGATTGATATATATCCTGGCTGGTTTCATCTGTCTTAAGTCCATCTGCCGCGCATTTGTGTTAATTTTGTAAATATTTACTAGCCAAAGTTACCAACAGAATGTAAGTACATCAACTTAAATGGATAACTACTGCCTCTGTTAATTTAAGATTAATTCTAAAATTTACTTATTGTCATACTTGCTCAAGACAGATTGTAAATAAAAAAAAAGAAAACTTAAAACTTATGTGTGATCTTAGGAACCTGTACATATATGAATGTACATATGATATATGAAAAAAACGCTACAATCCTAGAAAATGTTTCACAAAATATCTAAAATTCATTTTCCGTAAATGATGAAGTTTACAACAAAACAACACTTGTTTCTGAAGTATGCACTGATTCGGAAACATGTGAAAGGTAAAAGTGCGGCTCAAAATCAGCGACTCAGCCCACTGTGCGCAGTGGCGGGGTCACGAAGGGGGCAAGGGAAATATTATGATTTATTTTTATTATGGCGGGTAAAGTGGTCTTTACAAGCATCAAACAGGGCCACGCCAATCGCCCACAGACGCGCCGAGTAAAAAGGCAGTTAGTTGGTTTAGGCCGAGAAGGGGGGAGTGGAGGAGGGCATCCAGGAACACGACGAGGAACACCGGGACTGGAGGACTGGAGGACTGAAGGACACCAGGAGCTGGGGTGCGCCGAGTGGCAGGAGGGTGGCGCACAAGTTGTTAAATGGACGGGTGGATTTGCACTTGCCGTGCTGACTGTTATCTTCATTTTTGCTTTCAGTTATATTGCCTGGGAATTCCTGTGGGAGCTGCTTTGGGCACGGGATCAGGGATCAGGGAACAGGGAACAAGGAATCCCCCTCCTTCTGGCTAAAACAAATTGTGTGCCCGGCACGGGCATAAAAACAAGCGGATCAAACAGCCGGGCAGGTGGAATCGGAATCGGAATGGCAAGGCATGGCATGGCATCGTGGTGGTGGTTGGATTCCCTTCTATCTGGCTTGGCCTGCGCCCGGAACAGGAGCCGCAAATCGAAAAAGAGTGTTCCCGGATTTGCCATCCTTGTTGTTTTGACCGTAGCCAGGTTCATTGAAATTGCATTAATGCTCCGTTTGGCTGATAGATAACCCCTCGAGTGGGCATCCGCATCGAAATCGAAGAGCAGCAACCTGCCACCCCAAGTTTCATTGTTGCGTAATGGAAATCTGCGTGTATAATCCGCCCCTGATAAGTTGGGCGGGATAAACTAGTTATGGCCATTAATGCGATCAATTTGATGCTCACTTCGGTGTAAGTAAATAACAGTCTTATTGAAAAACAGTCGGGGAAAATGGGTAACATATTCGCCGCGACCAACAGCCCTCGTCACAGTTGTAACTGATAATTGCCAAGTTCTGGTCCTCGGTCGTCTCGATTCCTACATCTACATATGCCATATATTACCGGGATCGTCGGGCAGGGGGGTTGAAAGTGCGGGGATTGTGGGTCAAGTGATGCGTTGATGTGCATT